AGATGCGCACGGTCTGGGGTCCAGGCGGCGTCGAGCAGGCACGCTCCACCAGCAGGTCCGTCTGCCTCAGGGCTTTCTCCTGGGCAAGGTGAAATCCTTCCGGGGCACTGAGCTCAGGAACTCCGAAAAGACCCTGACATCCAAAGAACAGGGCCAGAACTGTTACTCTGCTCCGTGTGAACCACAAAGACTCTTTCCGTAAAGGAATTCTTGGGAGGTGGTTGTCTCCCAATTGGGCCAAGGTCACAGAGACTGCTTTTCAGAATCATGGAAACAGCATGGATGCCGTCAGAGTCCGGCTGTCACTGCAGAGGCCACCAAGCAGTCAGGGGGATTAAAGCAGGGGACCGCTGTCTGAGGCAAGCAGAAAGCACTGAATGGACGCTAGCCACAATCCTGAGCTCGCGACCTTGCCCAGGGACGTCTGCTCCCAGCTCTCAGCAGGTTCCACAGCGATGGCCATGCCTGTCTCACAAGTCCTGAGTTAGGAAGTCTGGGTGAGGAACTTAGGGCCCAGTCCCACAGAGCGAGGGCTTAGCACCCCTGCCACGGTCCATGAGAGAGGTGAGGGCGTTCTCCCACATCTAGAGAGCTACTTCAGAGAACCCTCGGGCACAGAGGCCACGGGCTCACACTGGCCGCCAGTTTTATAGTCTCCAAAGGCTTTTCGGTCTGTTAGCAAAAACACAATATCAGCGAACCGATGGGACTGACCGCCATCCTTCTGCAACCAGGTCACTTGCTAGAACATTTAGGCAAGCGCATGTAACAAGTGGCTTTGGCACAGCTGCAGGATGTGACATGCTTTCGATTTTCTCACTGGTTTTCCACAATGCTACAATAGTCATTCTTCTCTGATCAATAAGTCAGAAAGTGGGACTGCCTGCACTGCCGGCATCCCATACGGGCACCGGTTCCCGTCCCAGCTCCCTGCTAACGGCCTTGGAAAGCAGCAGAGGAATGCCCAAGTTCCTGGATACCAGCACCCACGTGGAAGACCTGGAAGAAGCTCCTGGTGCCCAGCTTTGGACCAGCCCAACTCTGGTCCCTGCAGCCACCGGTGGAGTGAAACGCTGAGTGGAAGATCTCAACTCTGCCTTTTCAAAGAAGCAGAAGTTAGATCATGTTTGAGGTCATCAACAGTGGCAAAGCCAGGACTCACACCTGCTCTGCACAGCTCTAAGTCCACCCACTCTTTGGCAAGCCTTCCTTAAGGTGGCCCACGTGTTGGGCAGTCTTCTCTTCTGGAAAGGGCACCCCTGCCCTCAGTTCATAGCCTCCTGCCCAGCACCGGGTCTACCTAACCCCTGAGGGAGTTCAGAACAAAAACCAACAGAGCAGATCAAACTTTTTAGACTTTTCATGGGAATATTTCTGGAAACACCAACAGGTGAAATTTTCAGGCCTGCTAAGGGCTACTGTTTCCACAAGACAGGATACCTACACCCAGGCTGTTAACCTCTCTTCAAAATACACTAAGAAGATGAGGAAAATAAATCAAAGACGGGAATTCATCTCCAACCACCAAATAATGCTAAATGGAAAGAAAAACTTCCGGCAGGCCTCTGCACAGCACTGAAAGTGGTGCTTAGAAATCGTCCCCCACACAGCAGTGCCTGGCCCCACACCTGGCCGAGCTGCCCGCTGCCCTGGCCAGGGAGGCAGCAGCGAAGAGCCCCTACCACAGAGTCACACTACAGATCCCCACCTTGGCTTCCGGCTCTGGCCTGTGGAGGAGTGAACCAGCAGAGAGCTCACTCTATTTCAAATTTTAAAAAAGTACATTAAAAGCATTTTTCTCAAGGCAAACATCAATTCATCAATCATGCTGGGGAGCACCTACACAGAGGGGTCGTCCCCACACCCGCCACGCACATGCCAACATGACATCCCTGGACACCGCCTGCGAACCAACACAAGCCCCCTTTAGGGTCCACTCCCGGGTGGCAGCAAGGCTGGACAGGAACCGAAGGGGGAGGCGCTGCCCAGCCTCTGCTTCAGGACAGGTGCACCGAGACCGCCCCGCCCAGCCTCCCCGGACCCAGCCCAGCGTGCTCACCTGACGCTCGCCCAGCAGGTGCCAGCGGTGTCCCCGGGGCTGGACATTGAAGGCTGCGCCCACCGGGGACCAGCCGGTGCTCACTGTCCGCGCCCAGCTCCCAGCGCCGAGGCAGCCCCGGCAGGCTCGCCTGGGCCGCAGAGCCCCGACGCCGGCCCCCAGGCCGCCCAGCCTCCTGGTGCACAGCATCGTGTGTGCAGACCCCCGACCCAGAGCCCCGACGCCGGCCCCGAGGGTCCCCAGCCTCCGGGTGCACAGCATGGTGAGTGCAGACCCCCGACCCAGAGCCCCGAGGGCACACGCTCCGCGTTGTCAAGGCAGCGGCCCACGCTGCGTCACGTGACGGCGGTGCTTCCGGGTCGGGGAGCGAGTCCGTCGGGACGTGAGCAAGAGCGTCACCGCTCAGGCTTCTAGGCCGCCTCGGGAGAAGGGCGCCCCCGCGCGCCTGGAGTACGGAACGGCGAGCTTGGAAGGTGTGATGAGCAAGCACTGGAATTCTTCCTGGAGCGGGAATGGGAGAGAGGGCAGCAGTGTGAGCTCCTGGTGCCTGCCTCCCCCATGTGACAAGGTCTGCGGGCGGATCTAGGGCCGGTGACACACGCTTGAAATAATCACGGACCACCCTGCTCATGAGCTGTGGTTATGTGCAGCTACGTGAATTAACTATGCGTGAATCTCCACCTATTTGGGTCTGTGAAATTCTGATAATCTACAATAAAAATAGTATAAGGAAGACATGGGTATCTCGGGCAGTATCTGAACTGCATTCCCACCTCTGGCATCCTGCCAGTGTGCACCCTGGGCTCCCCTGACTGGCCACCCACATGACCGACTCAGATTGAGGTCCCTGGCCCCAGCTGCAGTTAACCAAACCAACACATGAGAATGCTGTCTCTCTCTCTCTCTGCCTTTCAAATTTTATTTAAAAAAAAAAAAAGATTTTTTTTTAATTTCTTTTTATTTAAAAGGCAGCTTTACAACGAGAAGGAGCAAAAGATAAAGAAGACCTCCACTGGCTGGTTCACCCCCCAAATGGGTCGCAATGGCTGCAGCTGAGCCGATCTGAAGCCAGGAGCCAGGAGCTTCTTCTGGATCTCCCAAGGCTTTGGGCCATCCTCTGGTTCTTTCTCAGGCCGCAGCAGACAGCTGGATGGGGAGGGGAGCAAGCAGGACTCGAACTGGTGCCCATACGGGACCACCGGTTGAGCCATCACACCGACCTCTTCCATGAACGTGTTCAAGCTGCCGCACATGTGAATAATTCCCTTTTGTGATCTGGTGAAGTCACATAAAGTATGGCAGGAATGAGTCTTTCAAACTCACAGGAAGCCAGTAGTCTTTATTTGCTTAGACAAATCCTAGGAATACATACGGTTTAAATTCTCAGCATAGGAAGCCTGTTATGTTAGTGTAGGCATATGCAATTACTCAACAAATAAGGAAGACTGAGAACTTAGGAAATGATACAGTTCTCTCACAATTGCATAGCAGGTGTCTGGGCACAGAAAAATTCAATGCAGATTCCTCTGTAACAGCCAAAGGAAAGCCACGCCTCTCAACCCTTGGTTTCAGGCTTCTTCCACCACACCGTGCTGCCCCGCTCCCTGCACCACGGGCCACGGGTGGCAGTGACAGCAACACCACAGCCCAGTCTAATTTAAGCAAAGGCAGCGTGTTGGCTGGTGCAGTCTAACCGTCCAGGGCTCACAGGCCCGCAGACACAGCTGCATTTGGAAGCCTGGGACCCTGTCCGGTTTTGCTGCCAGCACGGAGACCTACAGAGTGAGCTTGCTCTTAAGAACAGACACTCAGGGTCCTGGCGGCTGGGAGGGTTAAGTGCATGTCAGTGGCATCTGCATGGCGCCAGGGCGAGCACCAGAGGGCGACACGGAGCAGCTGCCCCGGCTAGGCCGCCTCCTCTTCCTACAAGGCCACCAGCTTCATCCCAGGGCCCCACACAAACTAACGCGAACTAACCCTGGTTTCCAATTAAAAAGGCTTCACCATTCACATGAGAATTTAGGGACTAGGTTTCCAACTCATGAAATATAGGACCGCCGGGGCATGTAGCTCTGCAGAGGAGCAAGGTGGCTGCTTTTTCTTTGCTTTTTTCTTTTTTCTTTGCCTTCTTTTTCTTTGCTGTTTCGGCTTCAGCTGACAACAGCAGGCATTGTCTGCAGCACACCCACAGATGCACAGCTGCTTCTCTGATGGGACCAATGGCATCGGCTGCTGTTCCGATCACCGGGTCTGCAGCTCAAGTCGACCCTACACCTTTGAGAAGACTCGTCCTGGAAGTGGACGTTAGGGAACCTTGACCAGAAGGAGAAGAAACAGATAGAATCTATTCAAATCAGAACCAGCAGGGCATGTGTTTGGTGCAGCAGCCAAGACCCCGTCCCGGGCGCTCCTGTCACAGAGTGAGCTGCTGAGTTTGAGCCCCTGCTGTTCCTCTTCTGACTCCAGCCTCCTGCTAAGGTGCCCTGTGAAGCAGCAGGTGACCGAAGGAGTCCTCAGGCCCCAGACATCCTCATGGGAGACCTAGCTCGGACTGAGATCCAGGCATCTTGCCTGTACTTGGCCCAGCCCTGGCTGATGTAGGCTTTTGGTGAGTGAAACATCAGATGGAAAATCTCTGTCTCTTTCTCAGGTGCATTTAAAGGGAGTCGGACTGGAAGTGGAATGGCTGGGGCTCGAACCAGTGGGCAAAGGGGATGCTGGCATCGCAGACGAAGGCTTATCGCGCTGTGCTACAACCGTGGCCTCAGGATTTTCAGTTTTAGACTCAAATTCCATTTTCTTGTCTAGCCCTTTTTAGGATTATTGCAGGAAATGCGAGAACGAATAGCATCAAACCACGTCAAGGCGGATCCTGATGGCCGCGGGGTGGCAGGTTCCTGATGGCCGCTGGGGGCCGGACCGGACCAAGCCTTCGCCCGGCCTAGGTGCTGAACAGCAGGAAGCCAGTGAAGGTGGTATCGTCGTCCTCGTCGGCAAACAAGCCATTGAAGCGCTCTCCTCCAGCCACCTGCAGCCACACCTCGTCCCCCAGCTTCAGCTCCAAGACCGCGCCGCCCGAAGCCTGGTCCTCCGAGCTCATGTAGGCGTCCTTGGTGTGCAGTACCTTCACCCCGTTTTTGACCAAGGATACCTGGACGTTCCGGGAGAAGACCGTGATGTGGTAGGTGAAGTAATAGACGCCGGCGACGCGGCAGGTGAATTTCCCCGTGGTCACGTCGTAGTGGTTGAGGTCATTGTACAGGATCTTGTCGAACTTGATGGGCACGTCGGCGTCTGGGAACTTGCTCAGCACCGTGAGGCCCACCGTGAACGCACTTTTGGGCGTCACTGGAGTCTCCCCGATTTTCCCTTTTTCCCCTCGATCCCCCTTCCAGCCCCTCATTCCTCGGACTCCTGGCTCACCCTGGGGTCCCACGGGGCCAGCGTCTCCTTTGGGGCCGGGTTTGCCTATGGGGCCTACAGGGCCACGCAAGCCCATCGGGCCTGCAGGTCCAGGGTCTCCGGTCAGGCCTTCCGGCCCCCTGGGGCCCACATCACCTTTCTCCCCCTTCGGCCCCTGAGGGCCTGGCTCTCCCTGGAGGCCTGGCTCTCCCACCGGGCCCACGGATCCTTTGGGTCCATGCTTCCCTGGAGACCCCCGTGAGCCAGGATCGCCTTTCATGCCTTTTGCTTCAACTTTTCCGTCTGCTCCTGCACAAAGAGAACAAGGAGAGACTGTGAAACACCTGCCGGGGTGGGGTGGGGGGGACCACTTCCCGTTCCCCGAGTGCAGCATGCTCAGGGCCCTTGCTCAGGCTTTGCAACTACTAGATTAGTGTCTGGGCAGCAGCTCCTGGGATGGGCATTGGGCCTAGAGGTACCAGCTCTGCTGCCCTACATCCCGACACCTGGGTTCAGTCTCTGCACCGCTCCGGCCTCCAGCTTCCTGCTCATGCCGACCCTGGGAGTTACCTGGGCTCCTGATACGCATGTGGGACACCCGGGTTGAGTTCCCAGCTTCCAGCGGCAACTCCAGCTGTTCCAGGCATTTCCGGAGTGAATCAACAGCTAGAACTCTTGTCTCTCTTGGTATTGCTCTGTCCGGCCAGCCCTCAGACATCCATCCCTCCCTTGGCGGGAACACAAAATCAACTCCTCGGGGAGACATTTACCACTCCCACTGGCCAGCCCAGGCCCGTCCACAGTGACTCTGCCTCACTTGGTGTGTCTCTGTGTCTCCATCCAGACTAGGGAGTGGTGGCACCAGCATGGATTCTGGTTAAATGCCGGATGTGACACCGGCTATGTCAGGCCAGCCCATGGCCTCCTCACCTGTGTCCCTTCATCTGCAGACCTGGGATGACACTGCCTTGTTTAGCAAGAGCACTTACATACCAAGGTGCATGGGCAGTCCGTGTGCCTGCCATGATAGGCACCCCTCTCTCCATCATTGGAGTGCCATGATAGGCACTCTCTCCATCATTGGTCAACTGCTGGCGTCCCTGACGCTACCTTCTATGGCCAGGCTGCCAGGTACATGGAGCCAAAATCTAACTGCATCCCCCAGGACTCAGGGTTTGGCAAATAACACCCCACAGATCAAATCCAGGTTCCTGTCTGGCAGAGCCCACGGGCCGAGAATGGTTTACCTGTTTAATTGGGCTCAAAGAATATTCTGGGATATGTGAAAACCGTAAGAAAAGGAAATTCCAGTCTTCACACAGACAGCATCCCTGGAACACACTCAGGCTCGTAAAGGCAGTGCCCACAGCCGTTTCGGCCACGGCAGCAGTATTGAGCGACAGCGACAGACCCAATAGGATCAGCTAAACCCAGACTGTCGCCCTTTACAGAACAAGTTGGCCAATTCCCGCACTGATCAGGAACTCCCAGAGAGCAAGCACCCAGCGGCCTCACTGGATCGCACTTCACAACTATCGCTGAGTCCCTGCAGTGTGTGTGGGGGGGGTGGGCAGCCAGCTCTGACCTGGTTCTCCTTTCTCTCCACTCCTTCCGTCCTTCCCTGGGTCTCCAGGATGTCCTGGTTCTCCTGCATGAGGAAGAAGAAGACAGAAAATGTTAAACTCCTGACTCCCATCCCCGCGGGCCCTGGACTCCTCCGTGAGCCTCCCAACGAGCCAGTGCTCCCTGCTAACGGCAGCACCAGCAGAGCGAGGGGAGCAGGAGCGAGCTGCAGGTGGGTCAGGGGACCAGGGAGCCAGGGAGCCCTGCGGCAGGAAGCGCGGAGGGTGGGGGGTCCACAGCCAGGCAGGGCATCCTCAGGACCCAGGGGTCGTCACGGCTGCATTTCCTTCCTGGGTCGAAACACAGTTCAGGGGCTGGCACGGTGGCACAGCAAATCAATCCTCCACCCTGTGGTGTCGACGCTCCAAGGGCACAGGGTTCAAGTCCCAGCTGCTCCGCTTCAGAGCCAGCTGTCTGTTTATGGCCTGGGAGAGCAGCAGGGGGCGGCCACGTCCTTGGGCCTCCGCACCCACCTGGGAGACCCAGACTTTGGAGCAGCTCAGCTCTGGTCTTTGCAGCCACTTGGGGAGTGAGCCAACAGATGGAAGGCCTCTCTACCTCTCTGTAAAATCTGCCTCTCAAATAAAAATAAATGAATGTAATAAAAAAAAATCTATGTATGAAAAAAGCACTGTCAAAAAAAAAAACAAAGTAAAAAAACCAAAAATACACATTTCGAGGATATAAAATTAAGGGAATTGGGTATCATTCTGAGAAACATCATATACCGTATATAAATTTAAAATATAACATATGCATTTTTGAAAAATATATGGGGAGATTTCCAGAAAGTACATATTAACATTTATGGAAAATATATATTTTTAAAATATTTTACATATATTTCAAAAGTTCTTTTTCTACTAATACATTTACACTAACTTGTTATAACAGGAAGCACTACAACATCAGAGTGTAAAGAGCTTCTTTCTGAGCAAATGACTTCTGCTAGTGATGAAGCAAAAATACATCAAATTTGGGCCTGGCACTGTAGCCTAGCAGCCAAACTCTACCCTGCACGCACCGGGATCCCATATTGGTATCGGTTCTAATCCTGGCAGCCCCATTTCCCATCCAGCTCCCTGCTTGTGGCCTGGGAAAGCAGTTGAGGATGGCCCAAAGCCTTGGGACCCTACACCTGCGTGGGAGACCTGAAGGGGGCTCCGAGTTCCTGGCTTCGGGTCAGCTCAGCTCTGGCCTTTGTGGTCACTTGGGGAGTGAATGATCGGATGGAAGATCTTCCTCTCTGTCTCTCCTCTCTGTATATCTGCCTTTCCAATAAAAATAAATAAATCTTTTTTTAAAAAAAATACATCCAATTCATGACGAAGAAGCTTAGAGTAAGAATGGTGAACACATTAATAATGCTTTACAAAAAGTTCAGGGTAAAAATAGCCTCAAAGAACTCAGTGTTTTCAACCGACTAACGCCTTTTATGAGGCAGAAGGGGCATTGGTGATGGAGTTCATGGTGATTGGTCACGAGCTTCATTTTTGAGGGAAAGGTTGAAGCTATTGGTGCTTAATTAACAGCAGCAACACCAGCCAACACCATGGACAGCTCAGTCTGTGGAATTCCTGCTGGAAAAAAAAAATCGCAATGCAGCCAACTCTGCTGGCGGAGGTCAGAGCCGCTGCGCTCAGATGAGCCCCAGACAAGAGGAGGGTCTGCTACGGGAATTCTCCACCAGGTGAGCTCCAGACCCCAAGGCATTTCCTGGAAGACCCCGAACAGGAAACGCAGCTCTGGCATTGTGGTGCTGAGGACGAAGCGATGGTGGCGGAGGAGCAGCAGGCCGGAGGTGGAAACGGTCCAGGAGGGCCGAGGGGGGCTGCTCATGAGTTCAGGTCATGACGGCAGTCCTCAGCGATGCTTGGGATGCCGAATGCTTCTTGACTGAAGCACAATGACCTCTGTGTCGTAGGAGCGTCCTGAGGAAGTCAGCCAATCCTTAGTAGGAAAACACACAGGGAAGCTTTCCCAGCGAGTCCTCCTGCAGCCGTGACAGTGTCCTTGCCCATCCTTCTTGTCATACTGGGGCAATTTTGTGAGGGGACTTGGGGGAAGTCCCCAGGCATTCACCCTCCAGCCCTCATTTGGCTCGTTCTTCTTTTAGCTTCCTATTTTGAAAACACTATGGACATTGTACATAGGTGTTGAAATATGAGACTGCACTCTGTGAAAATGTGCAAGTATTACACTTGTATAGATCAAGAATTATACAGTTTTTAAAAATAAACAAAAATCTACGCATGCAAAAGTCTTCACAGTGTTCATGAGGGGGCTGGTGCCATGGCATGGCGGGCTAAGCCTCTGCCTATGGTGCTGGCATCCCATAAGGGTGCCAGTTTGTGTTCCGGCTGCTCCATCTCCAATGTAGCTTCCTACTTATGGCCTTGGAAACAAGCTCCCGGCTCCAAGCTTTGGACTGGCTCAGTTTGGGCCAATGCAGCCATTTAGGGAGTGAACCAGAAGATGGAAGCTCTCTCTCTCTCTTAGTCTCTGTAACTCTTTCTTTCAAATAAAAATAATGATTTTTAAAAGTTCATGGAGAATGCACATTATCATACATGATTTTTTTTTTTCAGCCAAATGTTAGGTTCAGGGGCAACTGAGAGAGACGTTTAGTTGAGGCAGAGTTTTATCAGTCAGTAGAGAGAGCGTGAAGGACTGCTCCCCAGTGGTAGACATGCCGGGGCCACTTCCACACCTCGGGGATGGGGAAGGTAGCCCCTTGGTCTGCGCATGCGCATGGCCTGTTTCAGTTGATCTTTACAGCGGGGTCCTCATCCTGGTGGGCTGGGACAGGCTTGCGTGGGTCCCCTGGGGCATCCCACACATTTCTGAGGAGATAAGGCCAGGACGACCCATCATGGACTCTCTGGCGCTTTGCCTCCGGCCAGCAGCCTGCTCTGCCCAACCCAACACAAAATAAGCTTATCTTCAAAGTCAATTTTCAACAAGGCTTTTAGAAGTATTCTCAGGAATAATGCAAAGTTTGAAAGAAAGGAAAACCACGGAGCAGGGAAGAGAGATTCCATGGAGGAAAGATGGAGTGTGAAGTTGGCCAATGGAGAAGCTGTGTCCTTTCCCTGTATTTACTTACCACTCATCCGTCTAGCTCCCTCTTGTGCAGAGCATGTGGCAGAATACACAATTGAAACTTAAACCCCATCTATTAGGAGACACAGCACTCCCACGCGCTCATCCGCTCCAGGCTTTGGCCAGGGGTTGGACTTGCCTTCGCTAAGCCTACGGTTTGGATTTGCTGGAAACATCGTCTGGCACACAGCAGATCTGAAGCAAAGTGACTGGAAAGAAAGCTGCCTTCCTGGGGGGCCTGGGCTCCCCCAGCCCACCAGATGACTCAGTTGGCCACTCAGTGCCCTCGGCTGGCACCTTAGGGAGGCCGGGTGATCCTGAGACACGCCCCCCTGCAAGTGTTAACATTGGCTTCTTTCTTGCACTGAGATGGCTCCTTCTGCCTTGAGGTCAAGACCAGGGCCCAATGGGAGAAAATTTTTCACAATGGCCAGATGCTGTCTGGAATGCCTGGATCCCATTATCACAGCCCCCGGGCTCAGGCTGCAGTTCCTGGCTCTGCTCTGGATTTCTGCTTCCTGCCAGTGTGCACTCGGCGAGGCAGCAGGCGATGGCTCGGGTCCCTGGCGTTCTGGGTTGCCAGCTCTGTTCTGGCCCGGTCACAGCCTCCGCGGGCACAGACAGGGAGTGAGCCAGGGGATAGAAGCTCTGCATTGCCTGTCAGTCTTGCCCTCTCTCTCTGCTTCTAAAATAAAGAAATCAATGCATTAAAAAGAAATAGAACATAAAAAGACTAGAGCTCAAGAACAACAACACAGTCAGAAGCCCAGTGTCTTACAACACGACCAGGTTTTCGGTCTCTTTTTTCCTCCTGGGCACAAAATCCCCCGTCCTGGGCCTGAGCCCCAAGCTCGGGCCAGGGTCCTCGGGCAGTGGGTTATAGTCTTGTGTTCTCCGACTCTCCCATCACTGGCTTCTCACATGCTGAGGTTTAACTGCCACCTGCTCTGTCAAAGATTCACCCAGCAGATCTCTCCGGTGGCCTCAGGTGGCCAAAGAGCCCATCACACTCGCCTTCTGGGGCAGCAAAATCTATGACATCCTATGTTGTTGAAGAACCTAGATGTTTTCTGCTTTTGTGATTCTGCCTTAATGGCTTGGCTGGGGGCTGTGTGAACCTCAGGCCTGACAGTCTACGTGACACCCGGCAGGACACCTGGCAGGTCACGTAGGCAGACCACTCCTCAGGAAGGAGGTCCCTGGTGTTTGATTAAGATCCACCGCCCTATAGCTCATCGATTTGTACTTTTTGAAAGTTGCTTGCTTCAAATCTACCAATAGAAGCCTGCTAAATCATGACTATAATTAATAGCCTGAAATGATAAGACCCCTGTGCTGTTAGACTGGGGTGGGGGGGGCGGTCACTCTTCTTTTGCCTTCCCTGCTTGGTGATTTTCTGGGGATCTCAAAATCCGGCACAATATTGTTGCTCCTCCAAATCCATAGGGAATTGGTCCCAGGACCTCCCGGGATACCAAATCTGTAAATGGTCAACTCCCTCATATAAACTAATATCGTATTTCATAGAAACTGTGGGCATTTTCTCATAGACTTGACTTTTTAATGGTTTTTTTTTTCAAGGTTATTTAAAAGGCAGAGTTACAGGGGAAAAGGTGTGACAGACTGAGGGCTTTCGGCCGCTGATTCACCCCTCAAGTGGCTGCAGCAGACAGGGCGGGCCAAGCTGAAGCCAGGAGCTTCTTCCAGGTCTACGTGCATTCAGGGACCCCTTCTACTGCTTTCCCAGAAGCATCGGCGAGCTGGATGGGAACAGTCAGGACACGAGCAAAGCCCACACGGGATGCCGGCACCACAGACAGCGGCATAACCTACATCACAATGCCCGCCCTCTCCGATAATCCCTACACTGCTTATAACACCTACTCCAAAGGGAATGTCAAACGAATAGCTCTGACGCCATATTGTTTAGTGAATAAAGACAAGAAAAACTATTTTTCTATTTAGTACAAAAGCTACTTTTCTCCAGGTAGTTTCAGCCTGCAGTTGGTTGATGTGGAGAGATGACGACGCCCCTGAGGGTGCTCTGGGGTGTCAAAAGAGAAAGCCAACAAACAGCTGTCCCTGGGGACCGGCACCATGATACAGACGGCAAAACTTCTGCCAGCGGCACCAGCATCCCATATGGGCACCGGCTGGAGTCCCGGCTGCTCCACTTCCGACCCAGCTCCTTGCTAGTACATTGGAGAAAGCAGCAGCAGATGGTCCAACATCTAGGGCCTCTGCAGCTACTGAGCGACCCAGAAGCAGCTCCTGGCTCCCACTTTCAAATCAGCCCAGCTCTGACTGTTGCGTCCATTTGAGAAGTGAGCCAGTGGCTGGAAGCTCTCTCTCTCTCTCTCTCTCTAACTCTGCCTTTCAAATAAAAAATAAATAAGCCTTTAAGCCCAAAACAAGGCTCATGAGGGCAGCAGCAGACGAGTCTCCTCCTGAGTCTACCCCTGCACAGAAAAGACAGAATCTAACACGGAGCTGGCGCCTGATGGCTGCCTGCTGGGCACACCGGCGGACCGTGGGGGGATGGGTGGGGGTTGAGTGAGTGGGTGAATGCACACAGATGATGAGACAGAAGGGTGTAGGTCAGTGGCGGCCGTGGCGGCCAGTACCTGCGTCCCCTTTGTCGCCCTTGGCTCCGTCTCGTCCATCTCTTCCAGGCAGGCCGTTGTGACCTGGGCTCCCAGGCATGCCAGGGTGTCCTTGCCTGCAGGTGTCCTGCGAGCGCACACGCCCCATGCAGACGCCAATGACCAGCAGGAACCACCGGATCCTCATGGCTCGGGTGACGGAGTCCGAGCTGGAAGAGGGAAATAGAAGCCTCAAACAGGAAGCTTTGTCTTTGGTGTCAGGAACGCAGCTTCTGCTCCTTGCGGTGCCAGGGGGCTCCACACTGGGGCAGTGCAGGTGAGACGAGACAGCCAGGTGCTGACCAGGGACCTTCTCCTTGGGAGGTAGCACACGCTATTGGGACCCCTCTTAGAGGCAACTGATTAATGAGGAAGTACAGTCTGAGGTGAGGATAATTCTGCATTAATGGACCTGTTGCGATGGCTCAGTGGCTAAATCCTCACCTTGCATGCACCAGGATCCCATCTGGACACCAGTTTGTGTCCAAACTACTCCACTTCCCATCTAGCTCCCTGCTTGTGGCCTGGGAAAGCAGTAGAGGATGGCCAAAAGCCATGGGACCCTGCATCTACGTGGGAGAGCTGGAAGAAGCTCCTGGCTCCTGGCTTCAGATCGGCTCATCTCCAACCACTGCGGCCACTTGGGGAGTGAACCAGTGGATGGAAGATCTTCCTCTCTGTTTCTCCATCTCTCTGTAAACTCGTCTTTCTAATAAAAATTAATAAATATTTTTTTGAAAAGTGCTGCACTATGGACTGCTGTTTGCTTCTGGCAGCCCCAGGAAAGATGAACGCTTTCTTGTCTCCCGTGCCTGTTGCAAAGGACACATCTGACCACAATGTGCCCGAAAGCACCTTCTACCTAGTAGAACAAACCAGAATCACCATGGATGCCCCGTGCCAGTTCTGGGGAGACTCTCAAAAGAAAGACAGGCTGCGCGTGGGACTCAGATGGAACACCCATGCTTACACCAGCATCCCTCCTAAGAGCCAGGAACATCCGCCGTTGGAGAAGCACAACATGGAATATTACTCATACTGGAATATTACTCAGCCCTACAAAGGGTGGAATTTGGACTCATGCTACCACAGGGGTGAGCCTTAAGGACCGCACTAACTGAAATAAGGCAATTACAAAAAGACAAGCATTGAGTGATTTCATGCAATCACCGAGTGATAGTTAGAGCAGTCACATTCACAGAACGTAGGGCTCGGAAGAAGGGGAGAGGGTGAGTTGTTTAATGATAAAATTTGTTTCAATTTGGGACAATGAAAACATTGCAGAGGTAAGCAGTGCTGGTTGTCACATAGAAATGTATTTATTTCTCCAAACTTGACATTTTAAATGGTCAAGATGATCCATTTAGGGGCCAGTGTCACCACACAGTGGGTGAAGCTGCCACCTGCCATGAAGGCATCCATCTAACGCAGCTCCCTGCTAACGGCCTGAGAAAGGCAGCAGCGGCTGGCCCGCGTGTTTGGGCTCCTGCCTTGCAAGAGGGCAAGCAGGAAGGCTTTTGGTTTCTCCTGGCCTCACAGCGCCCAGCTCTGGCCATTGCAGCCATTTGGGGAGTGAACCAGTAGATACAGGAACTTTCTGTCGCTCCTTCTTTCTCTGAAACTCTGCTTTTCAAATAAAAAATAGATAAATCTTTATTTTAAAAATTCATGGAAAAAAATGGAATTAACGATGAATTTAGGAGTGGGTGTTCATGTCCCAGCCCTGGCTCCTGACTGCAGCTCTCTGCTAGCAAAGATCCCGGAAGGTGGCAAGCCAGCTCAAGTGATTGTGTTTCTGCCACACAGAAGTCCTGGCTCACAGCTTCAGCTCGGCCCAGCCCTGGCAGCTGTGAGCACCCCAGAGCATCAATGGGTGTGGAATTCATGCTCGGGTTTTCTCATTTAGGAGACTACTGATATGGACCTGGAACAGCGGGTTGCACTAACATTTGTCACGCGGAATGAGTGTCCGCAAAGCAGGTGTCTTAGAACTTGAAGCAAGCAAGAACAGGCAGCTGCCACTGGTCAGCACTGTGATGCAGCAGGGGCTCACACATGTCATTCTGCACGGCCACTGGGTAGAAAGCCCGAGGTTCCGTGTGATTAAAATCACCTCTAAAATTCCCCCTCAGTAATTAAAATTTGCATGCCAAAAGTACAGCATTAGCTAGAGTAGTGAAGACGCGCATGTTAATGCTGTGAGGCCGGCAGAGTTGCACAGCGGGTTGAACTGCAGCCTGCTCTGCCAGAGTCACATATGGATGCTAGTTCAAGTCCTGGCTGCTCCACATTCTATCTAACTTTCTGTGATGGAGCCTGCGAAAGCAACAGCATCCAATGACCTCAGTCCTTGGGCACCTGCCACCTGTGTGAGAGACCCAGATTGAGTCCCCGGGTGGTAGCACCAGGAGGGGAGTGAATCAGCAAACAGACCTCTCTTGGTCTCTGTTTCGCTGTCATTCTGCTCTTCAAATACGTCTTTAAAACATAGGAATGCGGCCAGTGCTGTGACACCAGGCTAATAATACTCCTCCTGCTGGAGCCAGCATTTTGTACGAGCGCCGGTTCGAGTCCTGGCTGTTCCACTTCTGATCCAGCTCCTTGCTTATGGCTTGGAAAAGCAGCAGAGGCTGGTTCAAGTCCGTGGGTCCCTGCACCTGTGTGTGGGAGACCCAGAAGAAGCTCCTGAGCTCTTGGCTTCAGCTCTGGCCATGGTGGCCGTTTGGGGGAGTGAATCAGTGGGTGGGAGACTTTTTTTTCTGTCTCTCCTTCTCTCTCTGTAAACTCGGCCTTTCAAATAAAAATAAGCAAATCCTACAAAAGTAGGGTAAGATGCCATGCATATTGTGAATGTACCTCCGTAGAGATGCATACTGACAAAACTAGAAGCCAACAGTTCCAGATGGACACGAGCTGTTTTAGGAAGCTGGAGATAAGGAGTTCTTCCTTCATTTCTCGCTCTCTCTCTCTCTAAGAGTTGTTTTATTTTTATTAGAAAGTCAGATACACAGCGAGGAGAGACAGAGAGGAAAATCTTCCGTCCGTTGTTTCACTCCCCAAGCAGCCCCAACAGCCAGAGCTGAGCCGAACAGAAACCAGGAGCTCAGAGTCCCCTTCGGGTCTCCCAGGCAGGTGCAGGGTCCCAAGGCCCTGGGCCGCTCTGGATTCTTTTCCAGGCCGCAGGCATGGAGCTGGATGGGAAGCGGGGCAGCCAGAGTTAGAACCAACGCCCATATGGGATCCCGGTGCGTGCAAGGCGAGAACTTCAGCCACTAGGCTACAGTGCCAGGTCCCGAAAGTTCTTCCTTTCTGCTAAATGCCGTTTCACAGGGCCGATAAGCTTTTTGACTAGCCAGTCTTCCAAAGGATTATGCCGCCACCGTGTGGGCAAGTCTGCACATAACAGGTGCAACCTAACGGAAAGAGCATTTGGGGAAAAGCAGCCCACGTTTGCCCTCTAAAGCCTCGACCTTACTCTGCTGTAGAAATTGAGATTTTCTGGAGTCAAAATCCATGTTCAATCTACGCCACCCTCTTGTGTTTAACCTAGAAATGATCCGCCGAAGCTCAGGTTCAGCAAATGACTTCTGCTGATGATCTTAGAAATATTTCCTGCTTGTTAACACGGGCAGCACAGTGATTATTCCGGTGCTAACAAGATTACGAGAAAGTAACGATGGGAACTGCATTCTGTTTTCTGCTGTCTTGCTAGAGCTGAGGTTAGGTCCAAGCACACGCTGTCTCCAAACTTCCTTGCCTGTTTCTGCTCCCTGGATACAGAGTGTCCACCTGGCTCACACAGTGGGGGAGCGTGCAGACAGGTTTCAGCAGTGAGCAGTGACGCTGGGGGGTGGGTGCGGATATCCCTAATCAGAACAGGTTTGATATCTCTAGCAGAACCTTGAGGGATTGCTCAAGGTCTACGGTAGAAATGATTTTAATGTCATTTTGAAAAATACCAAAAAAAAAAAAAAAAAAGAGAGAGAGAGAGAGAAAGAAAGCCATTCGTGCTTTCCTCAAAGCAGAGGGTGGGCCCCTTAGCCTCATTCCTCATCCCCTTGCGGTCTGGCCTTTCTGCTAGACCGGAGGCTCACCACCTCCCCACCCTGCAGCCAGCTCCTCCCTCTGCATCCCGCTTGGTCCCTGCCCCACCGGCTCTCTCCCCACACGGGGGCGCTGCTGACTAGGCACCAGCCAGGGTGAGAGCTCTTTAAAAACTGTTTTGAAAGGCAGACACACAAAGAGAATGCCCAGCTACTAAGTCCCTTCTTCCTCCCTCACGCCTGAAATGGGAGCCAGGGACTCAGTCCAGGTCTCTCAAGAGACGGCAGGAACCCGAGTTCTGGAACCTTCTATGCTGTCTATCAGCAGGAGAATGCAATCAGGCATGGACCCAGGCACCAGATGCAGGATGCAGGCGTGCTAATGGGGCGTCTCACCCACCAGGCCGATGGCTTACCTCCCCAAGGGGCACAGCGGGGGGTTGGGCTGAAGCCAGGAGCCAGCCGCTTCTTCCAGAAGCACTCAGGTGCTCTCTACTGCGTTCCTGCGCGCATAAGCAGGGAGTTGGATCTGAAGTGAAGTAGCTGGGATTCGAACTGGGGATCCCATTGTAGGGGATGCCGGTATCTCGGGTAGTGGCTTAACTTATGGCCCTGTAAAGGTGACTTTCCAAGTCCTCATTTTTCTACCTCGTGAATATCTGGTGAATGGCTGAGTGACCGGTACCCTGGCTCCTGCTGTAAGCACATTGCCACATGAGGAGGGGACTGGGTGCTCATCCTGCCGATGTTTTCCATGCCGAGTGCCAGTTAACTCGGACCAGCTTCTCAGTTTTGAGGGGAACATGCTGCAATGGCATTTCTGGCTGACCCAAAGAGGCCATGCTTTCTGGCCTCTGCTGCTCGCTGCTTGTCACCGGGACACCAGATCCTGGGCCATGGGGTTCAGGTAAAGTTGGAGTGTGCACCTGGGAATCCAGGCTGCTGGGAAGACATGAGCTCTCCTGGGACCCTCCCCCATTGCTGTGGCAAGACATGTGTAAGATGGGTGTGTGTGTATAGTTGGGAGTGTGCACATGGTAGGAGTGTGGACAGTGTGTGTGCACAGGGTGGTCGTGTGCATGGGGTGGGGGTGAACACGGGGTAG